CTCTTAACTGTTGAGCCATCTCTCCAGGCCTGACTCCTGTTCAGTCTTAACCCCTTAAATCCTCCCTGCATCAGGTGTCATTCCCACATTGTAAAGCACAGTGGACTAGAATGTAAGCTAACCTGTGCAAAGCGCCTTAATTATAAACTGGTTGGCCTATTAGCTCAGGCTTATTATTAACTAGCTCTTACAACTTAAATTAACCCATAATTCCTATCTATGTTTAGCCACATGGCTTGGTACCTTTTTTTAGTGCAACATTTTCATCTTGCTTCCTCTGTGTCTGGGTGCTGTGGGAACTCCTTCAGCCAATAGCCTTTAAGATACCAACTTATTTGGGCGTGGTCTCTTATGCTATAAATGCAGTCATAAAGCTTGTGTGTGCATGCACACACGCATTCTCTCTCCTCTGCTTGATTCTGTTCCTATTCCCCATTCGTGCAGAGGACTATGATCTGTGAGTCTATCCCTGAATAAAGGCCCCTTTATTATACTCAATCTGAGCCAGTGTGGGGTTACTTTATAGCATCCATCTTCATCTGGGTGGCAACTGCAGATTGAGCTTTTCCTCTTCCCAGAATTCTCCTAGTCTGGTCACCCTGCCTGTACTTCCAGCCTGGTTACTGGCAAATCAGCATTTTATTAAACCAATATGAGTGACAAAACTACAGGGTACAAGAGCATCGTCCCACAGCACTAGTTGGCTACCACCTCTGCTTTTCATCAATGGGCAAAGACAAAGATTGGGATAATCGTCTACTACTGAATAACAAAACCAGAAGCTGCACCTCTAAGCTTGACTACACTTCATGCCCAGAGCCTGGTCACATGCCACACAACCACAACAAGGCTAGTGAATCTTAACATCCTGAAACTCTAGTGCCGGGTTATTTGGCAGAAAGAGAGGGGGACAGAGCTGGACCCATCCAGACTCTCCCTGGTGCTGAGCAGGACAGTGAGTGTGGAATGACCCAGCCCTCCCCACTGACCACAGGGGAGAAACACATCCACTGAGTCGGGAGTCTGTCGAAGCAGGATCTTGAAGCAGGATCTTGTTTAATGATATCAGGCAGAAACTTACATAGGGTTGTGATGGGAGTGGAGCAGCTTGGGATGGGTTTGAGGCAGAGGAAGAAATAAGAGCCAATAATATTCTGCCACAATAGTGGTGGATGGGCAGAGGCGGGTCTCCAAACTCGAGCCAGACTCAGGAAGTTATACTGGGCCTCCTGAGGCCCAAAACTCTAGCACTATGCAGGAATAGGAAAAAGGATCCTAGGGACACTGGCTGGCTGTCCTCCGGGGAAAGGACATTTTGTGCATGCCTAGCCATGGAGCTCACACAGCCTACAGGCGTCTTCGTCATCATTTTCTCATAGGTAAAGCAAATCAGGATTTTGAGGTTCACTGTCCTGGGAGGTGGGGTTGAAGTTTGGGCTTTGATAGGAGAGTTTTCTTGCTCTGCCCATGAGGGTGTCCTCAGACAGACATTCAGGCAAGGCCCATCGTGGGGCATGTGTGGTAGGAAGGGGGCACACAAGGGTTGCCACTTCTGGACTAGCTTAGGACTGATGACCAAATCCAACCACCAGAGTTATTCCTCTAGTTTGAGTCTGCTTATTCCCTCAGGAGGATGGCATATTCTAGAAGACGGCATCCATCCAGCCAGGCCAGTTATCAGGCAACGGTGCGTGTTGTGGTCTGAGTGTGTAACACCCTCTATGGACTCCTGCTTGGGAAAGTTGTGGAACCTTTTGGAGATATAGCCTTGCTGGAGGAAGTAGGTCATTAGGGTGAGCCTTGGGGTATTGTGGTCCAGCTCTGCTCCCGTGAACTGTCCACTCTCATCCAGCTTCCAGACTGGATGCTTTCCCTTCTAACCCTGAGCCAAAATAAGCCCAACTCCCCCTAAGTGGCTTCCTGTCAGATGTTTTCTCATAGGAATAAAGAGTAACTGATATAGGACAATGCGGGTGCCCAGGTCAGAGGTGGCAATTGACTTCAAGGGATTGGCCCACCAGGAAGCAAAATATTGATGGGTGAATACCGGATAGGCAATTCCCCCTGCCAAGTCCATGGGGGTAGCTCTGACTTGTTTAATGTACAGTATTTGGGATTAAACCCAGGGCCTTCTTAGGCAAGCACCCTATCCCCACCCTATACACGGCAGTATCCCCAGCCCTTTTTCTACTGTTTGTTTTGAGACAAGATCTCATTAAGCTGGCCTTCAAGTGGCTCTGTAGTACACGTAGGCTTTTTGAACTTTTGATCCTCCTGATTCAGCCTGCTGTGCCTGTACCACTAAGCCCTGTGACTTTGGCTGAGAAAGATTTTGGCTACAAACTGTCATTTTAATGTCAAATACAATTGGAGGATATAAAAGGTTTTATGTTAGTAATATGCAGGGCATGTGTGGGCTTTTCCCATAATCTGTGATATTATCAAATATTTGTAATTTTATATTTTCTATTGCTTTGCTGTATTTCTCAGAATAGAAAAGCAAAGTTGATATCCGGCTCATGAGATGATCTTCAGAGAAAATTACCAACAGAACTTACTGCAAATCCTACCACTAACCAAGCTTGGACCTCCTTTAATAAATGCAGTCAGAAAGAAACCCTTAAGAAATGCTTCAGCTGCCAGAAGAAAGGTGTGGCCCTAGCAGCCTCTCCTTTTGGGGTCAGCTTTGATGAGATGGTAGATGACTGGTAATTGCCCAGGGTGATTTTTCACCTCAACTTTTTATTTATAATTTCACATATCCTTTTGTAAGCCAGCACCATGCTCAATATATCTATGGTAGAAGATGTCACTTAAGCTTGGTCAGTCCCCCCACCAATCCCCTAACCTACAGAAGCCTGACTTTTTATAAAGAAAACAAAACAAAAAAATTAAACATATGTAAGACATTAGCCCAGTTAGTTTTAGATTCAACAAAAATGGTTATTTTTTTCTTTATATTGATTTCTAAGACACTATCAATTTCAGAATACAACACCGGGGCCTCTAACAATCACAGCCCGTGCTTCTTCTGCACACCGGTGCTTAGGAACCTGTGTTAAGATCTTGTTACATAGTCAGATCTTATAGTCAGTCTGGCCGTTTGGTTCATGTGTGACTATAGTCCATTTAGGCCTGTTTCTTTCTCTCATATTGTAAGTCTTCTCTTTTCCCCACTACCATCTGATATGTACAGCCTTATTTTGCTATCATTGTGGATTCTTTCCCCTCCTTTTGACTATTGCTTTTTGTGGGGCTACTTACCAAGTTTCTTATTGCTGGCCTACCTATCCGTCATCACACACTTCTGTGTGTGAGGTTGTTTCTCTTCATGTGTAAGGACTTACCCAAAGCATTTAAATGTGAGCTTTTGGCAGCTAAGTTCAGATCTCTTGCCCCACATAGGGGTACACACTTGTCATCTTCACACTTGGGAGATGGAGCCAGAAAGCTTAAGTTTGGTGCCACTCTGAGCTGCACAAAGAGACCACATCTCTAAACCCTGAGAGAGGAAAGAAGAAAGGAAGGGGTGGGGGTGGCAGAGAATGGGCTAGGGATGCAGAGAACGAGGGAGAGAGACTTCAAATACTGATGTCTATTGGGTCCCGTTATTTGGATTTTAGATCAGCTAATTCTTTCTGGAGGCGTCTAGATTGTTTTTACGGATTCTGTGTGCTCAGAGGCAGAGGACAACCCCTGGAGGGCACCTTGGACACTGAGAATGACGACAGCAGGATGTAGCTAGAGCAGAGCAGCTACTGTGTCACTATGTCCTGAGCTGTCGGGGGGAATCAAGGATGGAGACCGGGTCATTCCAAGTTTGCTCCAAGTTGAAAAACATGCCCAGCTCCACCCTTGGCCCCCTGCCCCCAGTTCCTCAATATCCATCCTCAACCCCCACCCCAGCACACCACTACCAACTGGAGCTTGGCCACAAAAGTAGCTATGTTTGGAATTTTTTTTTTTTTTTTTTTTTTTTTTTGCCATTCACATGACCTCTTGGTGTGGATACTGTTTATAATGGGCTTGAAATCCCACGCTAAATTGTCCTCAAATCCAGAATGATTATTTGTCTTTGACACCTGAGGCCTGCCCCTCTACATCCTAAGGCTCCTGCCTCTCAGTGATTCAGGATATCCCTACCCCCACCCATTTGCTGATGTGCATCCTGGAAAGCTGTTGGACAGGACTATGGCTTTAATGTCACTCTATCACAGACTAGATTCACCCGGGCCGGGGGCCACACCTACAGAACTGTCCTCATTGCCTCAACTGGGTCTACAGATCACAAGGGGGCACGGAAGGTTTAAAAGAAGGAAGGTTACTGGCCTCTGGCTTGCTTGGCTGGGCCTTCTCTGGACTCGCCTGCTGCTACCGCCAATTCCCCCACTGCTGTCAGAACCAGTGATTCCAGGCTTCTATCCCGAGCTAAGTGCTAGCATCCTCCCAGGAAGCTTCCAGGGTTATGGCACCAGATTGGGTCTGCTGAAGCACCCCACCTTGTGGACTAAGCAACTACTGGGTTGTTGGCCTCTCCAGTGAGAAGCAGCCACAGCAGGACTCTAACTACTGAGGCACCCAGCCTCAAGGACAGAGCAACTACCTGGCTCTCAGCCTCTCAGGCATGATTCAGCTGTTATTTTAATGTAAGCTGACTTAAATTCATACACATACATATTTCAAATATATAATAAATACAGTTTTTTCCATCCGATAGGTTCTGCTTTTTAAGAACCTTAAAGGACAGAGCTAGTGAGATGGCTCAGCGGTTAAGAGTACTCACTGGCTGCTCTTCCAGAGGTCCTGAGTTCAATTCCCAGCAACTACATTGTGGCTCAAAACCATCTGTAATGAAATCTAGTGCTCACTTCTGGTCTGCAGGCAGAACACTGTATACATAATTAAAACACACACACAACCCCCCCCCCAAAAAAAAACCCTTAAAACATGGGGCTCTTAATTGAATTCCAGCCGAAGAAAGAGGCACACGAGAGCAGAACTACATCCAGGAGCTTTTATTTGTATGGAACAATTTTAAAAATACAGAATAAAATAGCTTTATCTCTACTATTATTCACAACATCTGGTCCAAATATTACATATTTTTAAAATACTTAAACGTTTAATGAAGCCATGTTAGAAAAACAATATGAAATTTTTTTAAAAAACTCCATAAAAGAATTACACATCTCAAAAACAACCCCACCCCAAATACCCTCAGTATGCAAAATAAAAATTAAAAAAAAAAACCCAGAGAGATATATAGGTAAGGTCAGTCACAAAACTCAAATAAAATAGAGGCATCTCTACTGTTCTAAGGACAGTCAGAAACTGATGAACATGTCAAATCAAAGTTGTTAGGAACGGACAGAATAGGATGTCCACTGAGCTGTCAGATGCGTCAAACAGTAACATTGGTATGAATGCTCTAAACACCAGGAAACACAGCAACCTGAGAATGCTAGGTATAGAGTGGTGACAAGGCAGTCAACCTACTAGAAGGATGGGGAGGTGGATGAGGCTGCCCAAAAGGGGTCCCCAGCACTACTGTGCTTTGGGTTCCATGGATGAAAGTTAAATGCTGGCATGTAAGGGACCTTCTTGCACTACTGGGGTTCTGACTGTAGGAAGAGTGCAAAGTAGAAGATGTCCTATTCTGTGCCCAAATCTTAAGGGACTGAGAATAAAGTACGATATGTGAAACCCTGATCCAAGAGATGGTTTCCTGGAGACCAGGGCTCTGTGAAAGCTGAGGCCTAGCTGTACATAACCCAGTGTGCAGCGGACAAGTTTGGGTATGCACAGCTGGCATCCTCAACAACTGGGTAATTAGGCCCCTCGCTAATAGCCATGCCAAGCCTGATACCAGCAGCCAAATGTCTATCCTAAGCACGGCCGTCTGCAGGATGCTGCCTCTCTTCCAGTCAGATGGGCTCTAACTGAGGCTTCACCTCTCAGCACTGCCATGACTATTGATTAAACCTGCAGACTTTAAGTCTAAGTTGCTAATATCAGTGTCTCAGCAAGGACATGAATGAAAGAATTGACAGTTTAGATCCTGATCATAAAATACACACATGGGTAAATAAAGTATACACACATACTAGAGGTTCATCAATGGAGAAATTCTATCAGCACATGACATTGTCATGAAAATTATATCATTCCCTCCCTGGAAAACTGTGACTATTATCCTGGGCAGAAATGTTATTTTACTATATGGAAATACTGTGATATTCATGCATAAATCAAGTTGTCATCATGAAAGTCAGTATTCTACAGTATAAAGTAAATCCTGCATGTGAATTTGTTACAGTGGAGATGGGACACCAGTAGGACCCACAATACTTCACTCCAGCTGGCCTAGAAAAAGCCACCTCTCTTGCCTCGATCAATCCCAATAAATGTTAACACTGGAAACCCTCTTAAGAAAGATTCTGAGCCAGGTGGTGGTAGCATGCGCCTTTAATCCCAGCACTCGGGAGGCAAACAGAGACAGGTGGATCTCTGTGAGTTCGAGGCCAGCCTGGTCTACAGTGGGAGTTGTTCCAGAACTGGTTCCAAAGCTACAGGGAAACCCTGTCTCAAAAAACAAAGCAAAACAAACAAAAAGATTCTGAGCATAAACGTCTCAGTCCCAGTGAATCAAGGCTTAACTCATAAATGAAAATCACTTTACAGAGATTAGTGCCATTTCCCACTGCCTTCCAACTGGGTCTCCGGCACAAGGAGCCGGACAGTACTGTCCTTGTTCTCACATTCTGCTTTCTGTGCTGACACAAATGTTTGCTCTCGGGTGGAGGAAGGAAGCAAGTGTTCACCGGGAGACCTAGAGGTGGAATGCCCGGTAAGGATGCTCACATCTGAAATATTCTGGAACCGCCCATTGGCATACCAAACACAGCAAGTCTCAGCAGTGAAGATAGCTGGACACAAGCAGACAGACGACACATGGCCACCATGTCCTCCTAAAACTCCCCTCTAGGCACACATTTCCTCTGTGTTCTGGGAGACTACAGGCTGCATGGAAAAACCTTACTAGTGGTCACAGGGTGCCAATCACTCACAGCGCAGAAAGTGCACAACTCCATGGAGGAGTCTGATTGCGTTGTTCTCTTTCCTCCCACATCCTGCCCCCTTCCTTCCAAGAATATCAAAAGTTGGCTCTGAAAAAGCAAGAAGAGGAAACCCTGCTTCCAATGGAGATGTTGGCATAACTTCCCTGATCATCTATACTTGGTGAGCCCATGTCCAAGTCTAATAATGACCAGAGCAAAATGTAGCCAAATGGGAAGACTTGGGGTGGCACTCAGCAGAACAAGTGTAGCAGGCAGGATCGCCAACCGTTCTCACGCTTCTGTGTGGACTCCTGCTCCTGCTCACAACAGCAGCTCAATACTGCAGATCCTCAGGCGCTTCCAAACAGAAGCTGGATAAACTAAGCAGAACGCAAACTGAGGCAACAGTGAAGGCAGAGCAGAGCTGTCAAAGGCTACTCACCAGTGTGCTTCCAGAGCACTAATTACTCGAGTAGACATTTAGAAAACATACAAAACTAAATGCAATCAGAAACCCAGTTCTTTACTTAATCTGGAGGAAGATTTTGGCAAAACAATACAGTGGCTCTGAGGTGAGGTGTTATTGAAACCCAAAACTCTCATGGGTCATGAGGGCTGCAGGGACAAAAACAAAGACCTGGCAATATGGTAGTACTAAACCAGCCTAGGGGCTGGGGCAGAGAAACAGAGGGCCACTCAGAGTCACACCTTGCTAAGGAAAGCAGGAATGCCCACTGCCATGCACGATTCAGCCAGGTTCATAGCCACTGAGAGATACAATCTCTTGAAGCCAGGCTTTCCTTTTGGCTTGAAAACCAAAGACAAATTCAATACAAGTCACTTGTCAGCAAGAATTTGTGTCCTAGGTTAGAACACTTCATAGATGGCACCTGGTAGCTGTTTTTCTTACTGTCTTCTGCAACAAAATACACTGGCATTTGGCTAAGGGATCAAATCCTCCCTCTGCAAGGATCAAGATCCAATGGACCTGTGACCTGACAACCCACACAAAGTCTTATTAAGTCAAATCTACCAGCAATGACTTGCAACAGAAGGAAATGGCACATTCCATATGGTGATGCTGTATTACTGTCCCAGGTTCCCTTCTTCACCAAACAAATTCACATGTAACTTGACCCATGTTTCTGGGTTCTGGTCCAGTAGTCAGTTGTGATAAATAGATTAGACATTACAGTATTTACACTTTCATGGTATAGAGCAGTACAAAACACACCCACAACAATGGTCACTGGCCTTCAACAGCCATTGCAAGAAGCTTCCCTGATGGTACACCCACAGCTTTACAAACGCTGGTTCTTTTCTTAATGGGGTAAGGGGTAGAGAACAAGGAATAGGATGCAAGGTTAGAAGTTCACATGGAAAAACACTGGTTTCAAAAATCCACTATAGTCATAACATTAAATAGGAATAAAACACACACAACAGTTCAGGACAGCAGAGCCAAGACGCCCATAGACTTATCTGTGGGCACTCCATACCCGTCATGCCAGCCATCAGTGAAAATGCCAAATAGGTTGTCTCAGCCAGTAAAACAGACTAGTGTGCACTGTGCTGACCTGGGTGGGGCCAGAGTGGTCAGGAATGCCATTGACTCAGGCCCTTTCCATTACTGTCAATCTCCTAGACAGAGTGCCACCCAGGCACAGCTACACAGACCTTATGCATGCTCACATCTGGGCACATGGCAGTCATGTCACTACTTTCAGTCAGGTCAATAGGCTCCTGGGTTTTGGGGACAACATAACCACTCTGACCACGCAGATGTGACAAAGTAAGGACATTGGTGGCCCCTTGGCCAGAGGAGGTCTCTGCAGGGCTCAGGTCAAGTAAAGAGTTGGACATAGTGTTTAGAGGCAGAAACCCCTGGGCCTTGAAGTGGCTTGCAGGAAAGAGCACTGGAAGTCTGCACAGCAGGGAACTGAAAACAGGAGTCCAAATGCCCATTCCAGCGGCAGGACTGTGATTTCAAGTTCAGTGACCAAGGCCAGCAATGGACATGGAAAGGGTAAGGGACCAATAAGGAGAGAAGTGAGACACCATATTGGACACAATCACTACCCACAGACAGGTGGGTGCAACCTGTCTTAGCTCTGAGGTGCAGGATGCCAAAGTAGATATACAAACATCTATCTTCTTGTTACTCAAGAAGGAACGAGATCATGCCTCACTGTGGCCAGGCCACAGAGCACAGCAAAGGCTATACCGTGGCCTGAGAGTCTTTGTCTGAACTCCGGCTGTTCTCACTCTTGCCAAAGCCTTTCCATGTGTAGCCTACAAAGGTTGGGCTAATAGGCAGGTAGCTGAAGCATCTGTATTTTTTAATAATGTTCATGCCAAATGGCAAATTGTAGGACTCCATGCCATCAAGGGACTTGCTCCCTTTGCTCACACCCTTCTTCCATTTCTTGATTCCTCTTTCCTCTGGGGTACCTGCTCCATACACAGAGAAACACAGAAAGAATACTTAATTCCTTTAGAAATGAGGATTGTTAGACAAACAGACACACACACACACCCCATTCTAGAAATCAGACCTGCCCAATGACAGCAACAGAAAACCTGAGAAGCTGAAGATGCTTAGTCCCCAGGGGATCACTAACCCTCTTTGTCAAGGGACTTTGTACTTCATGTCCTCCCTGTCCTTTGAGGTATGACCCAGGCACGTGACTGCTTTCCTGGGTATCATATTGATCCAGTCTCCCGCCTGGTTGTCTAGTCACCTCACCACACCCTCTTCAAAATGTGATGCAAACGCTGCCTCTCTAATATGCCAGCATAAACTACGACACCTGCCTCCTAGAGCCTCCACACTCATTGAAGCTCTTCCTGTTTCGCTGCAGTTTGATGTGGGGATAGGAGGTGCACTGGTTCTTGGGCTCGAAGGTTTTAAGATTTCCCCTTTAAACAATCCACCACTAAAATGTCTCATTCACAAGATTTCTGGGGAGCCCATGGCAGACACACCAGACAGGTGGACTGTCTCACCTGTCCTTGAAGGCAGCATTTGACAATAGTACAGCAGCCATCTCTAAGAGACATACCAGAAGCTCGAGACTGTGCACTGGAGTCCATAAAAGCCCATCCCAGGCTCCAGGCTCAAGTTGAGAAGGGAGACAGAGTCCCAAGATGTACCCGAGCATCCCTCTGCCTTCTCAACATACGCAGGATGATGTGCTGCTCTTAACAGTCATTTGGATGGAGTGTCATCTCAGCTACTTTAGAAGACAGTTTGTATCAATAATACCTTTGAACTGACTTATTCCTATGCCTACTCCTAAGACAGGGTTGTGAGTAGCTGGTACTCACAGGCAAAGGTCACTGAATGCTATTTGTGGTTCTTGTTTCTGTATGGCAGAGTGAGGGTGAGGGAGCCTGGGACTTGGGCTCTGCTCCGGAGAGGCTTGTGTATCTAACCCTGACATACAGCACATACCTGGGATGGTGTTGTCCAAAATAAAAGCCACACAGCCTCCTACGAACATTGCAGTAGTGAGAAGTACATTCAGTACTTGGTCAATCCCTGCTATACCTGGATAAGAACAGAAGCACCATTAAGGGTCATCAACTGTAGCCAGGGCGGGTCTGCCCTTGACTCAGAAAGAGACAGTGGAGTGGACACCTCTGGAAGTCAACACAGGACCTAAACATATAAAATTCTCAGTAGTACACATGCACATACTCTTGCCAATAACATTTAAAGTTACTATGCAAACTTGCAACAATAATTCCATTGCTTCAACAATGGTGTATAGTAGATGAACTGAATAAAATAACATTAATACTATAATAAATAGTGGAGGTATTGAGGAATAGTCTTATAGATGTATAAAAGATTTAGAACTAAAAATGGCTGTTATGGGGCTTTGCAGTTAAGAGCACTAGCTGCTGGTCCAGAGGACCCAGGTTGTTTCCACATGGTGGTTCATCTGTAACTCCAGTTCCTAGGGATCCAGTGCTTTCTCCTGACCACCATGGGTATTGCATACATATATGATGCAGACAAACACCCATACACATAAAATTAAATCTTTAATAAATGGTTGTTGTAATGCTGCAAAAAATTTACAAGTGAGTAACAAAGCAATTACACTATGGGGAGTGGGGGGGGGGGGGTGGCACTGTCTGTGCAAAGTCTCACTCCATAGCTTAGGATGGCCAGGAACTCACTGTGTTCAGGCTGGTACCAAACTCATGGCAATCTTCCTGTGTCAGCCTCCTGAGTGTTGGGCTGACAAAAGAGCCACCAAGTCTAGTTGTTCACGCAACTTTTAAAAATGTTTTTTCTTTTTTCACTGCTGTTGTTTATTTATTTATTTGAGACAGGGTCTTTCTATGTATCCCAGGCTATCCTGAAACTCGCTATGTAAAATAGGCTGGCCTAAAATTCAGGCTGCCTGTCCAGTTAATTTGAGATGGGTATGGTAGCACATGCCTGTCATCCTAGCACTTGGGAGGTAGAGGCAGAAGGATTAAATGTTCAAGGTCAGCCTTGCCTAAATGAGTTCAGTGTCAATCTGGACTACATGAAAGCCTATGTAAGAAAAAAAACTTGAAAGAATAATCCTGAATTATTCAACTGCAAAAATAATGTATCAATAGCAACAGATATTTATTCAGAAGGTTCCTCCTTTGCTCATTCTGCATGGCAGCAGGATTTTATTAAAATAAAAAGTAGGAGCTAAAAAGGTATTCTTTATTTAAAGATCTGTTAATTCGGTGTGTGTGTTTGCCTGCATGTATGTCTGTGCACTATTTGCATGTAACATGACATAAGAAGACTGCTTCAGATTTCCTGGAGCTGGGGTTCAGGCAATTGTGAACTTCCATACACACAGATGCTGGGAACTGAACCCAGGCCCTATACAAGAGCTAAGAATAGCTCACAATAAGAGCTCACACCCAGGGTTTGGTGGAGAGCTGGCTCAGTGGTTAGGAACTGTTTTATTTCTCTTACATTTTATGTTTGAATGTTCTGCGTGTATACCTGTGTGCTGGAAGAGGGCATCAGATCCCATTATAGATGGTTGTGAGCCACCTTATGGATGCTGGGAATTGACAGCTACTGTTCTTAACTACTGAGCCATCTCTCCAGTAGTTAGGATCACTTTGCTCTTGTAGAAAACCCAGGTTCAATTCCCAGGACCCACATGTGGCTCACAACTGTCTTTAACTCCACTCCAGCTCCTGGGGATCCACAGCCTCACCTGACATTCTCGGGCATGAGGCACACACGTGATACATATACATACAGGCAGACAAACCTCATACATGATACATATACATACAGGCAGACAAAAACCTCATATGCATAAAATAAAATATTAAAAAAAAATTAAAAAAAGAGCTTATAACCACTGAGCCATCCATCTTTCCAGGACCTAAATAAGTATTCTTGAATTGAAAATAGAAAGACATATCAAAGTCTGTGAAGTTGAGTTTTAAGGAATTACACAACTTAATACAGCATGAGTCTGTGAAATCAAAGGTTTTACAGAGCCAAAGGAGAGGTAACCATTAAAAAATGAGACCTCAGGGGCTAGTGAGATGACAATTCATTGGGCAAGGGCATGTTTGGTTTCTAGCATGGTGCCTTTCAAGAAGGTACCTTGAATCTTCTTCTACTCCTCTGATCCAGGCTTCTGCCTCTGCACGCTCCCAGTGTACACACATGCAGAGAAAAATTCATATACACAAAATAAAACAAAAGGTAAGCCCTTGGCACCCATACCAAGTGTTCACCTGGGGACTGCTGATCTGAAGACACCCCATAATAATGTCTGTGAGTGGCCCTGGTGGTTTCCAGAGAAATAATCAGAATAAGACTCAGAAGGGGGGCTGGAGAGATGGCTCAGTGGTTAAGAGCATTGCCTGCTCTTCCAAAGGTCCTGAGTTCAATTCCCAGCAACCACATGGTGGCTCACAACCATCTGGAATGAGGTCTGGTGCCCTCTTCTGGCCTGTAGACATACACACAGACAGAATATTATATACATAATAAATAAATAAATATTTAAAAAAAAAAAAGACTCAGAAGGAAGCAACATGCACCTGAGGTTCCAAGGTCTCTTCCAACTACAAGAGCTATTTGTGAATCTATGGCTGAACTCCCAACTGCCCTACCCAAGATTCAAGGCCTCTTTCTCCTACCTGTGACCAGAGGGTTTTGTCTGAGGTAACTGGGAAGAACAAGCCCGAAGAATATGGAGAATCCAAGCACAAACAGGTTCCGGGAAGAATTCAAATCAATGAACTGCAGGTTAGAGAGGCCAACGGCTGTGATCATTCCTGGAGAGAAAAGCGTCAGAACACAGTTCCAAAGTTTACCAACTACGACACACTGACAGGCTATCCCAGAGGCTGAGGCCAGGCTCCCTGATGTCCTTTCTCTGTCCATCAGAAATCAGCTTGGAGACCAGTGCAGTGCCAGAAAGGGAAGGTCCGGGCTAACATGACCACCTGTATCTGACCAGGATGACAGCATCACACATAAGCCTCACACTGCATCTTCTTTAAATCAAGTAGACAAGTTTTAATTTTTTTAACTTTATGTATGTAAGTATTTTTCTTGCATTTATGACTGAATGAAGTGTGAGCCCAGAAGTCATTGTCAGATGCCCTGTAACTGGAGTTGTGACTGACCGTATGAGGGCTAGGAACTGAACCTAGGTCCTCTTCAAGGGCAGCCAGTGCTCTAACTGCTGAGTCATCTCTTACTCTCCCTATTGAAGCATTTTGATTAAACCCACACTAGAAATCTGGGGCATGTCCACAATGACTGTATCTGAGTGGTACAGATCAAACCCAAAGTCGCATAGTGAAAGTGATCAAATTTAAAGGGTTCATTTATAGGGGGAATATCTGAGTTAAATCAATTAGAAAATCTAAAGAGACTAGATTTTTTACCTTAATTTTCATAACATAATTATTTCTATCTTTAACATACATTTGGCTTGGACACTGATGCAAATTCCTAGCTTTTTGAAGCACTGTCTTTTTTTTCCCCCCCTTAAGTCAGGGTTTCTCTGTGCAACAGCCCTAGTTGTCCTGAAACTCCTAGCTGTGCAGACCAGGCTGGCCTCAAACTCACAGAGATCCAACTGCCTCTGCCTCCCATGTGCTGGGGTTAAAGGCGCATGTCATCACTGCCCAATGAAGCATCACCTTTTACAATTTAAAATGAAATTGTTAGATTTACTGCTAGATCTTATTTGCGAAAACATGCCCATTAAAAATTAGCCCGTGTGTATTGGGTGATTTTTACCCCTGTTAAGATGACTACTTTTGGTGGAGTTGAAATCCCGTTTTCAGTCTGCATTTGTGTAGCTCAGTGCTTTGTTAGAAGCTAACTGTTTTCAGAAAAGTATGTTCTGCATGTATTTTTAGGTACACATTTTGAGGGCTGCATTATTTTTGTGTAAAACGCACTGAATCCAGGGAAATCTGGGGATTGAAGCCTGTATATAAAAGCCTGTGTGTTTGATTTTAAACAGCTTGATTTTAAAAAGAATCGGCCAGTGTGAAGAACAGTTGGTGATGGTAGGCCTCTGCATCAGGGGAGCGGACTCTTACCAAAGAGCGTGCAGAAGAGGGCTCCGAGCACGGGGTCTGGGAGGGATGCGAACAAGGCACTGAACTTGCCAACCATGCCCAAGCCTAGCATGAGTGCTGCGCCATACTGGATCACTCGGCGGCTGCCAACCTGTGGGCACAACAGTTGAAGATTACCTGTCATTCTCCAACCCAGACTGGCAGCCCGGGGCAAACGTGATGGTGTCCTGGGCAGAACCCAGAGTACTTTAAACTTTCAGTTAGCAGTGACTCGTCCTCAATACATTACTATAGAGACAACCCAAGAACGCCACTAGTTCTTGCTCCATTCTTCTCTCCACACCTCAGTTCACTGTTGCAGCTGTGAAAAGGTGACCCCAGGGATCAGGAGTTGGAGATAAGATTGCTTACCCACGCCCTAGATATAGTTACTTTTGTTCGTGGGCTTTGGCTGGGATGACCTCCTGGGCTGGAGTCGTCCGTGCAGCAGCTACACTACACATACTATTCCTGCTTCTCTCCCAGTTTCTTCATGTGACTTTTCACCAAGACAAACCCCACAGAAGTCCTTGTGGCTCCATCCATCTTTCCGAAGTCGGATAAACATTCCACTACCATTTGTGGAAGCACCTCCCCTCACAGTGTCTTGCCATAAAAGGGTGGTAAAGTGAGGGGCCTACAAATGGGGAATTCTGGAGCCTTGCTGCTGGTTTGCGTGTCCACTGTACCTCTGACTAAATGACTTGATAATGCAGCTCCTCTGGCTCCCAGGCTCCTTACTCTACCACGGATAAACTGTGTGGTTTTGCCTTAAGGATCAAAGAACATGTTGCGGCTAAAGCAAAGTCAATCACGTCTGGCCTGCGCACAGATAGGTGACAATCCCTCCTCCTAGGTTTGCTGCCTCTGGATCCTTCCTTTGCTCTCTGTCATTGAGTCAACTTTCTAGACACTGCCAGTCCCTTGTTAAGATATTGTTGATTAGTAAATAATCTACGCCTTTGGAGGCGATGGCTCACTTCTATAACCCCAGCACTCAGAGGGTGAGGCAGCAGACTGGGGTTAGTGAGGGACACAGGATGGGTGGAGCAGGGAAAGGAAGAAAGAAGGTAAAAAGAAAACAAAAAGTGCCTGCCAAGGGGAACATAGTCACAGATAATATATGCAACCTCCATTGCCCCAATGTAACCTCTACTAGGACCAAAGGACAGGTAAACAGTGGAAAAGATCATAAAATTGCAGGCTCAATCAAGAGGGACTGACTCATTGATCCCACGAGAAGGAAGCCTCCCATCTGCAGTAAACATCTTTGAGCATCTAAAGTACGCTCGTTTGTTAGACTGGGGATGGACGGACATGAAGATGAGTTTTAAGGCACAGCCCCATGATAAAATTGCACTGTTGTGCTATGTGGGAGCCCAGGAGGAAAGGGGAAAAAATGAGTTGGGGAGAGTTGTTGAATGTTCTGCGAAGTTGAGTAAGATTTCCCTGAAGGAGAGTTGACAGGCAGAGGGACCATTCAGTGTGAAGGCTCCCAGTAGGAATGGGTAGCCCCCTACCAGGCCACAGTGGCCCAGGGATGCCCGCGACAATAGAGCTTAATAACCAAGCAGCAACTAAGCCACTCTTTTGTTCATGAATAGTACCTGAACTACAGATTTTTTGGATCTTCTTTGTTTTGTTTGTTTTGTTTTCAGTGTTTCTCTGTGAAACTCTCACTGTCCTCTAACTCAGAGATCTATCTGCTTCTGTCTCTGAGTGCTGGGATTAAAGGTATGTACCACCATGCCTAGCTTGTCTTGTTTTTTGAGATGGGATCTTGATAATGCAGACCAGACTGGCCTAGAACCTACTCCCTTGCCCAGGCTCACGGTTTTCCTGCCTCTGCCTCCTGAATACTTGGCTCATAAACATGCATATCTATGTCCAGTTTATCCCCGCTGCCAACTGCCCTAAGATCCTGCCCTCCTGTTACCTGCTAGTTACACTAGACCTTTAAGACTCCTCTTATTCTGCCCATTCCCTGGCACCTCTTCCATACCTCCTTGCTTCTTCCTTCATGACCATCAAAAAGTCAAATTTGTATTCCTGGCTTTTCCCAGGTCTTCAATAGCATGTAATGTACCAGAGAAATGATCTTTCCTAGATACCATCTCTAAAAGACACAATATTTGGACTTGAGAAATGGTTCAGCAGTTAAGAACACTGCTGCTCTTTCCAGGACCCATGTTCAGTTCCCAGCACCCACATGATAGCACACAACCCACTTAAATTACAGTTTTGGGGATCCAATGCCCTTTTATGACTTCTAGGGTCAGAATCAGGCACATACATATGTAATAGAAACTAACACTGACACATGGAAAAAATGTAATCTGGGGTGGGCAGACTATGTTTAGGAAGACCATGTTACTCTGTTCCTAGAAATAAACCAAGTGGCAAACAATTTAAGTGACCATATCTGTAACATAGCTGCCACTTGGAACCAGCTACGCCAGAAAGCCATGCTAAACTGATTATCAAGTGAGAAATTCTAACATCTTACAAGCTACCTTTACAGACCAGGGCACAGAGACCAAAGGAGCTACCTGCTGTCACCATGTTGAGAAAAAGTGATGGGGCCAGAGCAGCCCACTCCCTGGTGTCTGTCCTGTTGCCTTCTCTGTGGAACAGGCGGACTACACTCAGCAGAGGCAGAGTAGGTAACTCAACTCTGGGAGGTTAGGAATTCCAAGTCCAAGGAATGCAGGGACTGGATAGAAGCAGCTATCAGCAGAACTGCCCGAAAATGGGGGACACACTACTCCAAGCATGGTTCAATGGCTCAGCCCCGTCTGTCCAGGAGACTGCGACAGTGGCGGTGTTTTCTGAATGTGCTGTCCTCTGCCAGTCACTGAGCATGTGCAATGAGAGTCTTGAAATATGGCCAACAAGACTGAGCAAGTAAAATCTTAACATGAACTTATTTAAGTGAACACAGCTACAAGTGCTCCTGACTGCCGTGTCAAGACAGATGGATCTAGACCTTAGGGGCTGGGCTCAACTCACAAAATCACAGGGCTAGGGTCACACACAGACATTTCTGCTCCAAGTCCCAGCTCCCTGCTCTAAGGCGGATATAGACTAGGGACTCAACAGTGAGTGTCTTGAATGGATACAGTTCTTGCCTGGAGAAATGGCTCCAAAGACTGGGAACAAAGGGATTCAGAGCAACATAAATTAGCTCATGCATTAGTGTTGGTGAGTTGAAGAGATAACCCGGTGCTTAACAGTTGGTATTGTTCTTCCAGCACCCATAGTTAGAGACCCACAACTGCTTATAGCTTAGCACCAAGGGGATCTGACTCTATCTTCTGGCCTTGTGGGAACTGCACTCATGTGTACATTTTCCCCCTGCACAACTAAAATAAACAAATAAGTATGTGCTGTTGGGGTGCCATTTCAGAGAAGGCTTGTATCACTCAAATGCCATTCATTCCCTGGGCCTGTAAAGGGTACTTGCTTCCTTTCAGTGACCTTAGCTGTTCTATGTATCTGTAGAGGTACAGAAGGAGGGTGCTTGATAAACACGAGGTCCTCAGGAGTTTTACAGCCTCCCTGTTTGGAGCTAGTTATTTGCCCATGGGCAGATGCTAAGGGGTTACTAGTTAATACCCGCTTTGTGCCCATCAAACCCTTCCTTCAGCTCCACATTGTTGCCTATTGTAGGCAGCACTTGTACAACACTGAAGGAAGTTCCCATACAGTTCCCTCCCTCCATGCCATGTGCTGGGAGAATGGGCAGTAGATGGTGCCATTGGTCCACCTGAAGTTGAGCTTACACTGGCCCTGCCTCTAGGGGAAGATCAGCAGGTGGGATGTGCTCCTTGCATCTCAACACTGCTCCCTCTCACCTGGATTTGTAACCAAGATGAGTGAAACTTAATATTGGGTTTCTTTTTATCTGGTTATAGAATCTTGCATGAGGCTAGGGGGTCAAACAGGTCTAGAAGGCTTCCGGATTGGGTTCTTAGGTAAGGAGTCCTGTGATTCATGCAGGCTATAAAGAAAAGGGAACCAGTCTCAACAGTCTCTAGTTACACAACATCCAATGGCTGCTGGGCCAGCCAGCACTCCTCAACATCCTGGCAAGCAGCACTGTTTTGTTTGCCTATGGCAACTAGAACATGAAGTTTAATTGCCCGTAATAAATCTGACAGGTCAGGAGCAGACTTTCTCACAGAAGCTGGGTTTTGGGGTGGGACAACTGTACGCTTACATGTCACTATCTAGGGTTGAGTGGGGAGGACTCCGACCCAGGCTCTTCTTCACCGTGACTCCACAGATTTCACTGAGAAGGGGCTCTGATCCAGAGGCCTGAGACTTATTTAGTGTGATGGATGGTTTCTGTAGAGACAGGCATCTCTCATCCAACACGCCCTGCTGAACTGAGGGTCTTCCCTTGTTAGGATGTAATCTCCAGCTTTCTTTCTCATCAGGCACTCCAAAGTGCTTAGAGCAGAGGCCTGACACAGGCAGGTGCTTAGTCAACATCTGGAGACAGCAGGAAGCCACAATTAAACCCAGATGCCTCTTACCCAGGGCGGCCAAGTGAGGTGAGGTCTCCTAACAGGCACTCTGAAGCTCGTCCGGGGGGGGGGGGGGGAGATCACAATGGAAGAGTCACAGGTCAAACCCATCAATGAAATGGACAGACAGCCATTTAACTAGGAAAACATTTGTACCTTTGTAATTCCCAAAACTCCAATATTGGGACTGGAGGATGTAGAGCCATTCCCAGTACCAAATATGCCATCGAGAACACAGGAAAGACCCTCCACAAAAATACCCCTAAAAGAAAAGAAACGGGAAAAAGAGAAACAGTCACTCATGGGAAACTTTGAAACTAGCTCTTAACGTTTGAAGCCTACAAGAATGATGCCCCTTGAGAGGGGTGGGGGTGTTAAGTGGGACAGTGTGTGGACTCTCAGGTCCCTTCTCTGACAGGCTGAGGACACCCCCCATATGCTCAGCAACTCCACATTGCCCATTAGACACGAGTACTTTAAAATAATTTCAATAAAATCAAACTACTGAATCTAAGAGAAGTATGGGCTGTGCTTAGAAGTAAAGTATACCAATTTGATTCTTTGCTATTAAGATAGTTCCATCAGGAAGAAGTACTTTGTAAGCTTGTACATTTTGCTGGGGGTGGGGGGAGAGTAGGATTTCTCTGTATAACCGCCCTGGCTGTCCTGAAACCTTTTTTGTAGATAGGGGTAATCACCTTGTAGAGCAGGCTACCTGCCTCTGCCTCCCAAGTGCTGGGGCTAAAGGAGTGCAGTGTGACCGCCTGGCTTTGAATCTTTTTATGAAAAACTGACACGAGTGGTCTCATCATGTGAAACAGCTCTACTGGAGGGCTGTGAAAGCCTCAGAGAACCCCCCCAAAAGAGTCCATGCTAGTCATGCTGACTCATGTTGGAGGAGCAACAACAGGGAGGGTGGCCTATGCTCCTTTCTCCATATCTTCCTTAGAAACAGTCTCTTAATGACTTCCAGAAGCTAACAAGGTGCAAACCCCACAGCTCATGGGGGACACTCATTTAAAATTCTGGATCTTGGTTTTTGCCTCCCCGGAGCTGTTCTTGTCTGGTTCTGTGATCCATGACTGTGAACAGATTACCTCAAAAGGCAACTGACATAAATCCACCAACAGACCTACAGCGGTTACTATCTGATGCAAGAAAAATGTTGTGCTACCTGCCTGACTATGGCAGTCAGGACTGAATGAGAGAGAAACAGACTTTTCTTCAACTCAGAAATAAGTTCTTTGGGGATAGGGGTCCTTGAGAAAACAAGACAACACACAACAAAACCAAGCAGAGAACAACGGAAACACGTGGTGCCCGTTTCACACTGAGAAGAGATGCATCCACCTCTACAGAAGTCGGGGAGACTGGAAGGAGGGAACGTAGAATGCTGCTCTGTGCCATGGGTGAGACAGCCAGGCATTGAGGGCAGTGACTTGGCCAAAGGTAAATAGCCAATTATGATTTGGCTGCTGTCATCTGAAGCTCTCAGTTTCTACCACAAGACTAGATGAGCATGTGTTCTTGGGACAAACATACCTGTTGATTGCATGGACAGGAGGCGGTGGGGCGCAGGAGAGCCTGGCACAGGCATAGTAATCACCAATGGACTCAATGATACTGGCTACGACAGCACTAAGCATGCCAATGACACCAGCTGCAGAGACGGTGGGCATCCCCCACTGAACTGAGGAGAGAAAACAACCATGAAACTTGCCTCTAGGGGCTGGCAAGGTTTCAAGAACCTCAGAGAACTCTGTAAGATCTGTGCAGGATTCTCAAGCTCTTGCAAACCATTTGCTTTTAAATCTTAAATCACAGCAGATGTCTGGGAAGGTTACTGAGCAGGGGTCTCAGTGAGGGTTGCCCTCCGCATCTTTACTTGAGAAAGCCATCACTAGACTGGAAGAGGTGGGGGATTCTCTTCCTCAAAGTCATGTTCCTAGTATCCACTAAAGTGTAATTCAACACTGCCTGCTATGGTGACACAGAAATTTGTTTTGCTTTTTTTTTTTTTTTTGGAGACAGTGTCCCTGGATGGCCTAGTATTAACTATACAATCCTGACAGGCCTCAAACTCATGACAAGTCTCCTGATCTGTTTCTAGAGTGTGAGTTACAGGGCTGGGATTACATTCCTGGCTTGGAATAGAAATTTGTATCAGGGATTCAGAGCACAGCTGTAGACACCATGGTACAAAGTAGTGGCATCAAGTGAGAAGTTCCAGATACTCAAGTACACCACAGAGTAAATGTGACCCTACCTTGTCACCATTAGGTTTGTTAACTTTTATTTCAGAAAGCAAACAAAATTCCCATTGTAATTTCATCTGAGTATCCACATTTGCTTAATTCTTATTAGACATTTTTCTTTCCTTGGTAAAGGCACATGCCCTTCTTCCTTGAACCATTAGAAATAGTAACCCAGATGCCACACAGACGGAAAATCTGAAACACGGTTCTGGGGCAGGAGCCTGCCCTGTAGCTCTGGGCACTCTGAGACGAACACTAACAGTGTGACGGTTCAAGTTCAAATGAAGACAGGCCTTCAAAGCAGGATGTACAAACAAGGCTGGAAAGTGAGGAGAGTGTTCCTGCCTGGGGCTGTCCTACTCTGGGAGCCAGCAGAGGAGGCAGACACAGCTGGAGCAAGAGGTGCAAGGTGTCAATTCCAGAAGAAGAGTGTAACATCCCCAGAAGGGGTGTCACAGGCTGTACACTGGTGGCCCACACTTTCTCTCAGGGTTGGTTCAAGGACGTTCTTTATCTTAGAACAAGCTTTCTTCTGTTACAGTATATAGACTGTAGCATGATGGTTTCCTTAGAAGAAATCTTCCCTTCCCTGATTTTGAGGGAAGATTTCCTATTATATTCTACATTTTCAGTTGAACATTCCTAATTTAAAAATATAAAATGTTCCAAAATCTGGAATTTTTTTAGAACATGATACCACAAGTATCATGGAAATTTCCAAACCTAACCCTATGTGTTACACTACAGTCAAAACGCAGGTACATGGGGGGCTGGAGAAGGCTTGGGGGTGAGAGCACTGGGTGTGTTTTAAGAGGACCTGGGTTCAATTCTGAGCACCCAGATGACAACTCACAAACATCTGTAATTTCAGTTCCTGAGGATCCAGCACCCTCTTCTGGCCTCCACAGACACTAGGCAGGACAATAATGCAGAGATATACTTGCATGCAAAGCACCCATACAACATTAAAAATAAAATTCACTATTCCAAAAAGAAAATAAATTACCTTCAAGTTGTGTGTCAGGTGGGTGAAATGCAGATGGCCTTCATGCTTAGACCCAGCCTCACTGTACTGGGGATACAGTATGTACAGATTCCTAGTCCAAAACTCTGAATCTAAGATGCTAGGGCCCATCATTTTGAAAAATGGGAATACTTAACCTGCACCACTTTTCATGAAATACATTTTGAATTTTTCTCAGTCTCTGTTTTGCTTTTTACCTGAAGTCTTTAAGTCTGATTTCTAAAAATCCTTTATATCAACATTAAGCTTTAAATATTTAAGTTTCTAAAGACTTACTTTTATTTTATGCATACTATGTATACAAACGTTTTATCAGCATGTATGACCATGCACCATGTGTATGCAGTGCGCACAAGCACCCTTTAAGAGGGCATCAGATCCCCTGGAACTGGAGTTATAGATGGTTTGTGAACCACCATGTGAGTGCTGGGAAGAGAAGCCAGGTCCTCTGAAAGAGCTCTCAATCACTGAGCCCTCTCTTTTAACTCGTTTGTCTCTTTCCAGTCTGTGCACACATTCCTACACACACACACACACACACACACACACACACACACACACACGTACGCACGCACGCACAACTAAGTTCTGGAACTTTATTTACTAATTTGTTTTGAGTCGTGTATGTGGTCTCAACTCAGTCATGCTTTTGCCTCAGCCTCCTGAAAGCGCATATTATCTACAAGGACATGCTGTGCCTGGCTTACCTACTTTTTCAGGGTGTTACAGCAGGTTTTCAGCTTTGGCATTGCTGACATCTTGGGTCAGAAGTCTGTATATTAACATCAATCTTGGCAACCCTTCCTATATTGAAGGCTGAGGGCACAGCTTGTGATATCTGAAAGTGTCCTCTCTAGACTGATCCAAGTGTTGGAAAGTGCGTAGAACTGGGTCTTGCAGATGGGTGAAAGACAGTTCACTAGCTCTTGGCAGCCAAAGGCTGTCCCTGAAGAGAACCCTATGAGCTCACATACTCCCATGGTGATGGCCATGAACCCTGTCTACTAAGTGACACCACCTCATGGATGAGCCCTATAATGCCCCTGCAGAGTCCCTTGCAGGAACAGCTGGTGGCCTGTATTGTCACTAGGTGTCATATGCATGAGCAGGCCAAGTGGATATGCCGAGGCTCTGCTCCATCCTCCCAAGAGACCTTCAATCTCACTTTATCTTGGCTTATAGGTATGTTTATGAACTGAGCACATTTTTCTGGAAATAGGATAGGTATATATAAACACTCTGAGATGCCATGTGATGAAAATGTTATTTTAGAAGGCTAAGCCTGTTAAAGCTTTCAGAAAGTATCAACAACAAAGGGGAGAGCTGCAGATAGTATCACCACTCAGCATGCTTGGAGGAGGTATCTTTGACCCAACCTTAATATTTTTGGCTTTTCTTGCTTTTGGGTTTCTCATTGTAAAATAAGAAAACAAGACAGCTCAAGGGGTGACTGGCTCAACCTGGCTAAGTTCATGCTTCAACTCTAAGAAAACTGAAAATGTTTGGAATAGCATTCTAACCACTGGTTCCCGTGAGGAAGTTCAGAGCTGGGACCCGGAGAATGCTGCATGTGACTCCAGGTGATCCTTTGGGTGCAGATTCATGCTCTGCACAATGAGTTACCCAACACTGGAGCCTAAGCTCCATCTTCCGGCTGCTTGTAAGTGTCAGGTTCCCGCCACAGCTGTGACCAAAGGAAAACTATTCCATAAACTGGTGGGCAGGAGCAGCTAGCTAATCTTTCCATTGTGGCAGCCCTGGCACCAAGTAGCTTTGTGCCTGTCTTTACCAGCAGTGGCCCTCAAATCTTTGCCATCACAGCTCACATTTGGCCAGAGCACCTGCCCAGGATTTCAGAGTCTAATAGGGCCCAGAAGGCCAAGCAGTTAACCTGAGAGGGGAATTGGTCAGTAACTGTGTGTGGGTGACTGACCTCTGGGGACAAGAACTTCCCTTTTCACTGTCTGATTCTCTAATGACCAAAAGGCCACAGGGTTGGAAAGAAGGCTTGGTGGGTAAAGCGCTTGGCATTTGAAGCATGAGGACAGGAGTTGAAATTCCCAGAACCCACACAGTAGTACATATCTACAATGCTAGTGCTTCTTTCTCCAGAGAGATGGGTGGTGGAAAAAGGAGACTCCCTATAGCTCACAGCATAGCTAGTCTGGTGTATGCAGTGGGAAACAACTAAGAGACCCTATTTCCAACAAGGGAAGGATGAGAGCCACATCTGGGACTGTCCTCTGACCTCCATACTCATACACATAAACATGCATATACATACACATAAGTGATTAGAAAAATGTCCAGGTAAAGAGACATTCTCAGATCAAAAAAGGCTTTCCACAAAGTAGAACCTTTTGTCTACTGCCAACCCCTCCCGGTTGGGCCTTTATGATACTTACATGGGTATGGAACCTTAAACCATGGGGCTACCAGAAGTACGCCCTTCCTGGCATCTGTGCGTGCATAGTAGCCATAGTTGGTGCTGTTGGAAGGGAAGACATCAGTCACCGTGAAGATGAAGCACAGCAGCCAGGACACGAGGATAGCCAGGATGATCTGGAGCGGTCAAGGGCAGAATCTTTGTTGAGTAACACATCCCTTTCTACCTGTACCCACCACCCCAAGGCTGCTATCGTCAGGACTATGCAGAACAACTGCTTCAACGAGACTGCACTGAGAGTTATGCAGGTAAATTCACTTTCTCTTTCCAAAGTCTGGCTTGTAAAAGAATGGGCAGCATGCCTGCAGAGACCACATGGGGTCACATCTCAGAGCCACTGACAAGAGTCCTTCTGTGGCAATGCAGAAGAATGTGATCTAATCTTTGAACTGGAACCTTACAGACATCTTGACTTTTTGCCTGTGAGGAGTAAGTACTCCAATGCCATTATCACAGAGATGTAGGAGGGTCTCCCTATAGCCTTTCTTTACCTAGCACCTTACATGTGAACAAAGGCATACTGTGCTAGAGGTAGGGGTGGGGTGATCAGCTACTCACTGGAAACATTTTGAAAAGTTGTAATTTGTATGCAGTCCATCCTTTCTTGGATTTGTAAATTGGGAGAGGAAATTTAACATTTCTGGCATATTGCGAGAATAGTAACACTAGGAAAATCGTCCTGAGAAGAAAAAAAAAATCATAAAATTAAAGGTTGTTATGTCCATGCATTAAAATACCTCAGCTTTATTGGTTACAGGTGTTGGGTTCATTCACCTAAGCCCTCCCTCCTCACTTCAATTTGGAAATGTTACTACGTGGAAAAAGATGTCACAAGCAGCTGGCCTACGATTTCTTGATTGAGTAAGGAGATTAAAGAATGGGAAAACTCACTCCGTGGAAGGGAAATGATGCCAGATAAAATAATACCAGAGAGTATATTTACAACTAGATATCAGCTCGAGCAACCAAGAAACTATTGCATACTAACAGGATTGAAGTGAGTACGCATGCCTACATGCACACTAACAGGAGGGAAGTGTGCACACAAACATATACATCAACAGGAGGGAAGTATGCACACACACATACACACCAACAGGAGAAAAGTGTGCACACACACACACACCAACAGGAGGAAAGTGTGCACACACACATATACACCAACAGGAGGGAAGTGTGCACACACACACATATACACCAACAGGAGGGAAGTATGTACACACACATACACACCAACAGGAGGAAAGTGTGCACACACACACATACACACCAACAGGAGGAAAGTGTGCACACACACACATACACACCAACAGGAGGAAAGTGTGCACACACACACATACACACCAACAGGAGGGGAAGTGTGCACACACGCCTACATGCACACCAACAGGAGGGAAGTGTGCACACATGCCTACATACACACCAGTAGGAGGGAAGTGTGTACATAGTGTGGGAGAATGTCCTGGATTTTGTCTATATTTTAAATAAATGCTGATTGGCCAGTAGCCAGGCAAGAAGTATAGGCGGGACAACCAGACAGGAAGTAAAGGTGAGTGAATGAGAACAGGAGAATTCTGGGAAGAGAGAAGCTCCCTCTGCAGTCCTGTCCAGACACAGAAAAAGGAAGATGTGACCTGCCCCGCTGAAAAAGGTACCAAGCCATGTGGCTAACATATAATAGAATAATGGGCTAATACAAGTATAAGAGTTAATAAGAACCCTGAGCTAATGGGCCAATCAGTTTATAACTAATATAACCTCTGTGTGATTTTCTTTGGGACTTAAGGAATGCAGGAACTGGGCAGGACAGAAACCCCGACAACGTGTACACACGGCTACATACACACCAACAGGAAGGAAGGACATGATCCAAAGCCACCAGGGATCAATTTTACATTTTGAGGTGATTACTGGATACTTTTTCCTACTTTCCTTCATTTTCTGGTTTATTTATATTGAGTATAAGTTACTTTTGAAAACAAGGTAAAACTTCAGTATTCAAGAAAAGCAGACAGCTTCTTGTGGGGCAGCTTCTGTGATATGCTCCTTCCACTCCTTCAACACCTGTCCTAGGAGTAGGACTGCCTGGGTTGACTGCAATACTAATCCAGGGACCCTGACCCTTCCTCATCAGCCTGAAGGCCCAAGTGGCTGCCAAGTAGGAGGCCATTTCTCATCCTCCTAGGTGGACTATATGAAGAAAACAATACAGGGACACAGGATGTGCCGAACCACCTAACTAGGGCTAATCCTCTTATCTCCAGTGGCTTTTTTCACTTGCCACCTAAGGTACAGCTGACAAGAAGAAAGTGTCCTCAAAGCTAAGCTTAAGGATTCCAACTGCTAAGACAGCAGTACCAGCAAAGAAAACCCACTTCCTGTGGAGTCACTTGGGTAAACTGATAACCCATCAACTGACAACTTGGGTCAAGGTTGAAATCATTTATGGGGTCCAAGTCACTTCAGTTCCTCTGGGATAGAATCTACAAAAAACAAACAAACAAAAACAAAACAACAACAATAAAAAAACCAACCAAAACCAACATGGCAACAGAGAGTGGAAAACTGCCACTATCTATAATAATAGCCCATTGAGCCCCAACCCTACCTGCACTGTGCTGTTCTCTTTCCAAATACATTTAAGAGACTTGCCAAGAAGCGTGGGGGAAAGGGGTGGTTAAAAGAAGTGTAGCTTGTGTCTTAGCTGGAAGATGGTGGCACACACCTTTAATCCCAGAGATTAAAGAGTCAGGCGGATCTCTGTGAGTTCAAGGCCAGCCTGGTCTACAGAGCAAGTTCCAGGGCAGGCTCCAAAGCTATAGAGAAATCCTATCTCGAAAAATAAATCAAAACAAAAAGTGTAGCTTGTATCTAAACTGGAATTTCAAAAGAGGGGACAGAGGAAAGGTCCTGAACTAATGGTGAATCCCTACACAGGTCAGAAATGGTCAGAAAAGGGCGGGCAAGGGAAGGTGGTGACCAACGAGTAGCAAAATCAAAAACCAAAGAGGAGAAAACAGATGCGGAACTTGTTCTGGGCTGCACGTGGCAAATGGGGAGGGGAAAGCGTGACAAAGTAGGAGTGTGGCAGCAGAGGAAATGGCTTGGGGGTCTGTGTGCCCGTCCTGTGGAACAGCGAGTGAGGAGGGACATGGGAGAATTAGCTACAGAGTTTATGGGGTGGCTTTAAGCTTGTTGTGGACATCTCTCACATAGAGGACGTCTGTGGAGGCCTCCTAGGGGAGAGTATGGGGCACGAGGAGTTCATTTTCACCATTTCTAATCCTCTAGAAGAATTTCATCGTTTTCCTTTTCTGGTGTATGGAGTTAACCCTCCATATGTGCACACACACTATGCTCAACTCAGCCTTACCAGAAGTGGGCCTGGAAGGCTTTTAGCTCACAGATGGCTGTTGGGTATTACTTTTAACTGTTTTCTCTGTTTTTATTAACTTCCCCCACTTAGGTCACATGGTTTGCTAGCTACTGGAGAGAAAAGGTTACACGTACTTTATTTCTCTTAAAGCTTTTAAAGTCTCTCCATAACGACACTAATCACTCTGCGGTTATCAATACTGCTACTGTTACCAGCTAAATTATTAGCAATTGTTCCAATTTCTATGCTAACTAGGAATCATTTATATAAAATTTTTAGGTTTTTTTTTAAGCTCCTATGTGGTTTTCCCCCTGAATCTTTTTTGTTATGGGCCTAAAATTTTAATATTTTTATAAACACCAGCACCTTTCTGGTAACGCATCTCACTGAGTTAAAATTCCTTAATGGCATCTACAAACACACGCCTGCATGGAGAATGGTCTGACTGACCTTTTGTAAAGTATGAAAATAAAAAGAATACTTGGATACTTTCTTACACCTTGCACACCACAGCGGCAGGCGTGAGTGTGAGCTGAGTTCCAGTCAGACCACATAGACTTTGAAAATAATCTTGATCAGACTAGCTGTGTGGCACACTGCCTCTCTGTGCCTCTGTTTCTTCAGTTGTTAGACATGTAGAACACTAGTCTCAGCCTATGTAAATACTATGCAATGTTCTATGTAATATTATATAAAGCAGAGAGATATGGGAAAAATTAATAGATGCTGCCAATTATTAAATATGGAATATTTCCCAAAACAAAAAAATTGGAAATTTTAAAGTTTTCAAATTTTCATTCATTAGTAAAATTACAGCTTCTTGGGAGCTTTGACCTATGATAGAATCCTTTCACCTACTATATACATTACAGAAAGAATGTGAATTCTCAATCTTATAATTAAAGTCCCATATGTTCATTAGTATACAAATTGGTTGACATCGTCAATGCTTTTGATGATCTAGAGAAAGAAGGCAGGTCCCATGAGAAACTGGCCTTGCCATTGGAATGCATAGCTCTGATATCAGATGAGCGCTCACAGGTCCTCTGGTAACAGTGCTCTACTGCCAGTCCCATCCAAACAAGACAGCTCACTACTGTCTGCCTTTGGAATACCATGACTGTTCTCATGTCTAAACCCTGATCTAAAAGAATCACTTAATTAGCCCTCACATGAACAGAAAAAAATGAAAATGTCTGAACACTTCATCTTCACAGATTGCTTTCTTCTCAAGTTAGTGCACAAGTATCCCACAAGGCTGACCCAACCATATTAGAATGACCCCACCCTGGAGTTCTCTCAGAACACTTACAGCATGGCAATGCCCCAGTGCTTCCCTGCTCTCTCTCCTGCTGCCTGGAAACCAGAGAGGCCAATGAGGGCCACGGTGGGTGTGATGGTCAGCGGTCCAATATACCTCAGCAGAGCCCCAGGAAGGCCAAGGAGACCAATGACCACTTCTATCAATGAGGACATGATGATAGCTCCCTGAATCTGAAACAAAAAAGGGACAGTTTCAGTTTGCGAGTGATGTCAAACACTGAGAACGTCACCTGTAAGCACAACGACATTTCTGCAAGGCTACCAGTCATATATAGCAGCATGACAACTGCAACAGGTCCCGGGGCCCTGCAAAAAGGTTTCTGTGGAGGTGACTGAGGCCTAGCAAATGAATATGACAGCACCGCTTTAGGGCTAGGGCAGAAATGGGCACTGAGGACAAATCTGCCTGCCTTCTCACTGCAAGGTGAGATGGGCAAATCTGTCAGTTCTCAGATGCGCACATTTTCAGTCCAGTCCTGCAGGCTATTTCAATACAGTCAGCTTTAAAAAACCAGCCCCTGGAAAGACATTCAAAAGACAGAGTTGCTGACAGAAATTCTAAAAAGAATGCCTATGTCACATAGAATGACATTTGTACTAAGTCTAAAGATTTCATGGTGACAATACGAATATATACACACACCCATCAACTGATTTTCTGTACCTGAGGACAGCTTTAATCAACTCTACTCAGATGTACTTTGGCCAAAAAAAAAAAAACAAAAAAAAAAACTATGTTGTTTTTTTTCCCCCCCAACAAATAGGTATGACTATCAACTTGCTTGTACTGAGATGTCCATGTTAGTCAAGCAGACCTCTGAATATGCCCATCATGGAGCTTCCAGAGGCAATCAGAGAGTCGGTGGGTGGCTCATAATATAAGGACATTATTGAGAGATGGGCTCTGGCTGGAGGAAGTGGACTGAGACATGCCCTTGGGAACTCTATCTTACCCTGGTCCCTTCTTGCATCTCTTGCTCTCTTCCTGGCTGCCATAGGCTGAATTGCTGTGAGCTGTTCCTTGAACTCCTCACCAAGATAGACAAAGCCTCTGACACTGAACTTTCTCTCTTCAAGCTGTTTTCAGCATTCTAACACAGCAACAAGACAACTAACAGACAGATACAAAGCGGCCAGACCTCTTCTGCTGACAGCCAACAAGCCTCATTCACAGTCACCACCCCGGAAGGAATAAGCAGGCAGGCCTGGGGACTGATGGTATAAAGATCAACAGGGGAAATAAACATTCCAGTAGTTGAAAACAAAAGGGACTTAATACAACAAAGCAACTGCAGTTTCCTGGGCACAACTGGCACCAAAGGTGAGCAGAAACACAGGGACACACGTGGCAAGTGCCCGTCTTTACCTCTTGGATCCGGGGGTGCCAGATGTGCTCCAACAGCTCTGCCGATCCATTCGCAGCTGTAATCTCTTGAAAACAAAAAGAAAAGACCAGGTTTTTCTGGAGTGACACTAATGCTTCATAGCACATATTCATAATAACCATTAATAACTTCTTCATTGTTTTAATTGTCAATTCCTAAATAAAACTCAACCTGCGACAGTAGGGCTTATGCTTGGAGATGGACTCCCACACTAAGTAACCAAATGTACTCGTTGAAAAAGCTACTCGGTTTGCCAAAGGCTGACTGGCGTGGTGCTACCAGCCAGTGCCAGCTTCACAGAAACCACTCTTTGCAAGCAGCTACCTGAAATGCCCAACAGCAAGGCTGTGGGTTGAGGTTTTAAAAACCTAGATAAAGAGGGGCCTTCCTTTTCCAGTTCCTAAATCAAAATCAATGGTCACAAAGTAACACACCTAGGAGCAGAGACAGCAAGGGAATCAGGAAAGCTTGGCTCCTAGACTCTCAAAATAACTATTCTGAGTCCAACAGTTCTGACTTTCTCCAATTCCTTAAGCTTATCAGGTTCTGTAGGGATCTTTGCAATCACTAAGGAAGGGAATAAAAGTCATCTGCAGAAAACCACAGCAGCCAGATCCTTCAAAAGCAAAGATGTTTCAGAGAAGGGATGCTGATGCAGTGAGAGAGTGATTATGGTAAGTCATAAAATCCACTGAAAGAGAAAGGCAGGAAAATAGCACAAATATTTTTCCATCTATCCCCATATTTATCAGTTTCATTGGCAAACAGAAATGAAGTCATTTCTGGCCCTTGCTTGCCCTAGGGTTAGGAATGAAGAGCAGATGTAAAGACAGAAACAGGCACAGTCCACAGACTGGAGCGTTCTAAGCTGCTAAGGGCCAGTACATTCTATGCTCAACACAGGAAGGAACACTATTATTGGCAGGGTGTTCAGGCCCCCTTTCCACCTGCTTTAAAGGACCCCAATGACATATGTGGAAATAACTGCAATTACCTGTGGTGTTACATTTCCATTTATCTAAAGACAGGATGGCTCGAGCAGGGGCCAAAAATGCAAAAGCACTGGCCTGAAACAGGGGTAACCTAAAAGAAACGAGACCAAAACCATGATCACAGCATCGGGAACTACCGAGGTAGTTCACTATTTGACAGCTTAACAGTCTTTTCCATAGACAAGAGCACATGAGTAAACACAGGCACACCTGTAAGGAATCCTACACCACATAGCTGGACCACTAGCCTCTCCGACCTCCCATCCTCCTACTGCTCTAGCCTAAGGAAGTTCCAGGGGACCCCTGTGGTCAGTGCTAACACCCCAACACCAGTCCCTGCTACTGTTTCCTCTCCCCCAGAAGAGGGCACCGAGGATTTGGGCTCCTCTCTTTCCTGCTAAGCTCAGGAGCTCCCTAATAAACATCAATGTATATAACCCTTCTCCTCTCTTTCAAATTCTTATTCATTATTCCATTGCTCTACTATGTGAGTTGAAAATCTGCCCCAGTCACAAAAGACAAGTATTAAAATCATATTAATGATTTTTATGTATCCAGAAGAAAGTTGTAAGTTACAATAAGAGAGTACAGATAATAAATGTTATTTAATCATATCAAATATGTATTCTAACACATTTTAAAGGGTTCAAAATCCTGGTAAACTCCCCATTAAATCTCCTGCCCACGTTCTCAAACTGAATGCAACTAACCAAATCACAGAGAATTTGCTATTTTTACTGGAAACATAGAGCATATCAGCTAAATTAACAGGTAAGAAACTTAATCACTATTTTTCACGGTATTTGAGGGTAAAGTATAAATCCTGCTCCTGCTGTCTGCAGGACTGTGAGGCCAGTTACACATCCTTAGATGCCCTAGGCAGCCATGCCAGTGGCCTAGCTCATGAGGTAGGGACCCAGAAGCTTCCTGATAAGTTCCGCACCAGAGATGAAGACTACACAGAAATGCAAGAAGTCCTGGCCAAAGAGCAGCTGGCGACTGAGCAATCCAGAACCCAGAATGTTCCTTTCTGACACACTCCATTGTTAAAAATGCTATCTGGCCACTTTAACCACAGTGACTACAGTAATTAAGAGCAGGTAGGATGTGGACTGCAAGAGGGAGATGACCTCACAGGACAGCCAGAGGCCTTCCTGCCAGCCACGCACAGGGCACACCCTCCACTGACCATGTGGCTTTCATTACTGGACTAGAGCGATTTGAAGCACAGTGGAAAAGTACATCAAAGGGAAAACAGTCACTGGCTTATGGAAATTTCTCAGACAAAATTTTAGGAATGTACTGCAAGGATAAAGGGATGTTAGTATACCATCAGAAGTGGATGTCATTAACAGTCCGAATAACATCAATTTTATCACAGTTTCACAGATCAAGCAAGGCATCTTGGGGAAACATAACATAACTGTACTTTGAGTTGAATTTTCTGTCTGTCTCTCTCTCTCTCACACACACACACTCTCTCTCTCCCTCTCTTCTCTCTCTCTGTCTCACACACACACACACACACACACACACACACACACACACACACACTCTTTGCAGGTGGGTTCCCATGATATAGCCCTGACTGGTACAGAATGCATTATATAGAGCAGGCTGGCCTCAAACGCCAAGATCTGCCTGCCTCTGTCTCCTGAGTGCTGGGATTAGGGTGTGCGGCCATCACATTCATTGGCTATTCCTGGGAAGTGACAGAAACCAGGGGTGACTCTGAAGACCACTACTGCATCATGCCTCACTCTGACCTTGATCCTGGCACTGAAGGTGAGCATTTTTAGCTGAGACAAAAGGTCCTAAAAGTGAGGTCACAGAGAATCTCACTCACTGACTGGGACTCTGGGATCCTGAGCAGGTGACACCAGAATAAAGTCTCCTAAGACGGGCTGTAAGAGCTGCTTATGTTGGCCTCATGGCCTAGCTGATTTCAGCCAGATACCTGCCTGTACAAGTTGGTAATAGCATATGATTAGTGTGGGCTCTAAAACTGTGGCCACAAACCAGAGACAACATTAAATTCTTCGGAAATGCTACAAAATCATGGGAACAATTAACAGGAGTATCCCTAGGTTGGTGGGGAGAATCATTTCCCAAGGAAATGACTGAACCTGACACAGGAACATCACGAAATCAGTCAATGCTCTCTCTGTTCATCTGTGCCTACAGCACAGCTTCTAATTCTAGGGGATGGGGGAGGGGGTTCAGAATCTTTAGAAGGAGTTTTATTTTCATTTATATATATGCTAGAAGAGAACATGGGATCCCCTGGAATTACAGGTGGCTGAGAGCTGAACCTGGGGCCTCTGTAAGAGCAGCATAAACTCTTAATTGTTCACCCATCTTTCCAGCCCCAAATTTGCATTTTTGAATCATCACTTCAAGGTGTAGCTGATCTTTTCAAAACTCTTTAAAGCCTCAAGCTCCTTGGGATAGATCAGTGGTTTTCAATCTGTGAATCCAGACCCCTTTGGAACAACCCTTTCACAGGGGTTACCTAAACCATCCTGAATTTCAGGTATTTGCATTACAATTCACAACAGTAGCAAAATTATAGAGCTATTAATTAGCAACAAAAATAATTTTATGGTTGAAGATCACCACAACATGAGAAACTGTATTAAAGGGTCACAGACTCAGGAAGGTTGAGAGCACTGTGCTAGGTGTAGGGATTCGGGATTTGTCACTTGATGAACTCACTGACTTAACTGGTTTTAGATTTGTGATCTTCTGACTAGGTCTGCTAATGCTATGCTAAAATGCCAAATACTGAAGTTTTTGAATGCTATGCTTTTACTAATTAATTTCTTACATTTGGGGAAATGTAAGATTGTTTTAAATATGTGGAAGATTCACATTGACTTCTTAATGTATTGCCTGTTAGGGGAGCAATGTCCAGTGTTCAGCATCTGCCTGGCATAAGCACAGCTGAAGCAGATGTGATGAAAAAGCTTCCCACAGTCTTGAGGAGCACCCCTGTGAAGGAGACAACACTCATGGTCATCTAGAAGATAACACTGTGGACAGGGTCTGTCACCTGTCACCCATGCTTGTCATAAAGATTGAAAAGCACTGAGCCACGTGGTGAGGGGCTATAAGGAACCAAGGTAAAGAGGAAAGAGGTATAAAATGGGGGCCACAGGATGGACATGGAGACACGGAAAGAACACAGACACTTAACCTCAGGGGAAGGCCCAGAGAGGGGCAGTGAAGGTGAAAGAGAACCCTCAGTAAAAAAACAAATGCTCAGGGGATTAAGCTCTGAAAGGATCACTGTGAGGGAAATGGGACAAGGAACTGTCACCTAGAAGCTAGTCTCAGGCATGAAGGTTGAAGCAAGCCATAGCGGTCTGTCCATGGCTCTAGGTGTGATCCTTGTCTAACTGACTTCCAAGTCCTTTGCTGTTGACTCAGAGCCTGCTAGCCACTTAACCTCTAATGGCTCTCTTCCATACTGGTCTGCCCTTCCTATCCTGAAGCAGTTAACACCCTGACAGTAAGATACAGCCTTTTCATTCACGATCTTATTCACAGGACCAACAGTAAAGAATTTAAAGAGTTACTTTTAAACATGCTTGAAAAGGAATTATGTTAGAGGAGAATTAAAAAGTTAGGTCTTCCTAACATATTGGTTTGGATTGAGAACAGAGCAGAGAGAAAATGTGCACAACTTTCAGGAACTTTGCAATCAGTAGGGAAGGAGAATGAAAGTCACACTCCAAGGACACCATCAGAGAATGGTCTTTGACAGCTCAAAAGGCCCCACGTCCTGCAGAAGCACCATGAAGGTGCAAACTGTATCTGCCCTGACAGAAGTCTTCACTGCAGAGTGTACAGCACGTTCCCTCCACAACCAAACCTGGGACAAAACCTTCTAATCCCAAATGAACACTGACTTGAATCATCTGGTCTACAGAACAACTTAAAAATAATAATCTTTAAGAGAATCAAATAGGCTTGGCTCCAAGCAAGTTTTATCACTGATCAGCCACTGAGAGTATGGGCTAGATGTCGGTGAAGAAACAAAGTAATGTGCCAGAGAAAACTTTTCGGAACTTCGCAACACTTTGCTGTTGGTTTACTCACCCATCAATCGGCCGTTGGGAAACAGACTACATACCTAAACTATGTTACCCAAACACTTGAGCAAGCAGCAATTACAACCTTCTACATCTCCCAAGAAAAATAACAATAAAACAATAAGTAATCTAATATTCTGGCATAATTATATTTCTCTAGTTCCTAAAGTATTTGCAGTTCTTCCCACACCCAGTACAACCCAAGCCTGTTTACCTTTACCACACGCTAAGCACCCTGGCAGAAGACTGCTCAGTCATTACTCGTGACTGAGTCACACGGATGTCCCACTAGGTGAAGGTGCTTATCTAAGGTGGTGACTATCTCAGCATGTGAAAACGTTTTCTCACTAATAACCATCCGTCAGGTAACTCTTAGACTGTGATATTACTACTAACTTTACATTCTAGCATGAGGTTTAGATATTATGATTCTCTGGCAGTTAAACAATAATTTACTATTTTGAGCAGGATCTTCTACGTAGCCCAGGTTGGACTCCTGGTTTTCCATCTATGTTTACAACTGACATCCTTTGGAGAGAACTGTTTCCCTGTTTGTCCCTTGTATCTTCATCTCCCCTTTCTCTCTCTTGAACATCACTGCAGGCACATGAATTCCTTTTTATTCAAAGTTTTATAACTTGTTACTATAAGTGTTCTTAATAACTAAATTGCCCAAACTTGCCCAGAGGGCCTGTTTAAGTCAATTCCTGTTTCTTCTGAAGGGGCCTCACCACACTCTAGCACATTTTAGCTTTCTGGCCTGAGAGGTTCCAGGTTCAACTGATCCTCTGGGTCCCCACTCTAAGCCACTTGCTCAGAGAAGACTAGTCCATTATACTAAAAAACGGTAGTGAGGAACCGAAATCTGGACACTAAGTGAGCTCACTATTACTTGGGGGGGGGGGGGGGGAGGCGCTCCTTCTAGGCCCTGTGTGCAGTGAGGTAATTAGGAGTGAGATTAGATAAGTAGGAGAGAATGGAGGAGGATAACACCCCG